CCCCAGGCTCCACCCTCTGGGGCAAGTGACCAAGAAACCCCTGAGCCGGAGCCCGTGTCTGCACTGTTGCTGGGGGAGGGGTTCGCTTTGTGCCACGGGGAAAGGGGCGTCATATGCATGTGCCAGGTTGCCACGTGCCAGCCAGTGGGATCATCTCCCGCCTGCGGCTCCCGGCCCGGTGAGGCGGGGAAGGGCCCAGGCCAGGCGGGGCCCCCCGATCTGTGCCGGGAGCCTGGCCTATGAGTGACAGCAAGGGGCCTCCAGCATGTCTGTGTGGCTGGTCACAAATCCTTCCCCAGTGGCTCGTGAAGCTGCCAGTCTCAGCACCAGGCGTCCCCCTCCCCCTGCTGCCGGCAAGGTCCCTTGAACACAGAAACTCCAATACCGCAGCCAGCAGCTCCTGCGACCTTTCTCTGCACAGACAAGGTCAGGATCTGACTGCCCCCCCCCCCCCCGCCGCCGGCCAAACGCCTCCTCCCCTCCCTCTCTGGGCGTATCTAGCTCCAGGTCTCGTCTCCCCTCCACCACTGCCAGCCTGTCCCACTGGCAGGCCAGGCCCGTCAGCACAGAGACTTGGCACCAGGCAACGTGAGAGAGAACCGCCGAGAGGAGCAGGGCTGGAGGACGCAGCCACCCCCGGCAATGGCACCTGCTCAGGCTGGCAGGAGAGTGTCGCCCCTCGGCCAGGTGAGCCAGGTGAGGCAGGAGCCGTGGGAGCTGTCCAAGCTGGGCAGTACCCACGTGGCAGAGCAACGCCCCCTTCTCTCCGCACTGGGGTGGAGCTGCTGGACGGCTGGGCTGGCGGAAGGCAGGGACACTGGATGCAGCCTCAGCACCTGGGCACCAGGTTCTCCCTGTCCAGGCTGGCACGCGCAGCAGAGCCCAGGGAGCGGAAGACCTGCCAGGGGACTGGATCACGCTCAACCCCTGCTGCCCGCTGGTGGAAATGCCCCACGCTGCCCCCTGTGCGCTGGGTGGACACAGGTGTGATTTACCTGCCTGGGCATGTCTGGGTTACATGGGGGGCTGGTAGGGCTCCGTGTGGAGGGAGCCCAGGGCTGGGGTAGCAGCACTGATTCATTGCCTGTAAGGAAGCGGCAAGCCAAGGGGAAAGCTGTCAGATCACAGCTTCCTTGCGGCTGCCAGCCCTCAGCGTGGACCTGCCCCCACCTCTTCCCATCTCTGTCCCCCCTCTCCCCCCCGCACTTCCAGCATGTCATGGTGGAGCCTGACTGAACAGGACTGGTCCTGCAGGGAAACCCCTCCCTCTGCCAGCTGCAGACTCACTCTGTCCACTCCCAGCAGAGGCCATGGGGGGGGCTGCACTCAGCCCTAACCCTGCTGTAGTTGGGTGGGGTCTGTCCGAAAAGCCACTCTTCCCCCCCCCCGATCGTTCCCCAGTGGGAGACGGAGGGAGCTGGCAGCAGCTCATGTTGCCATGGGGTGACATAAATGGCATCCCATGGCTGGCCGTGGGAAGCTGCCCTAGCCCACAGAGAGGCGTGGGTATTGCCAGGTGCCTCGGATGCTACCCCAAGAGGCGCCCCAGGCTGGATCCCCCCCAGCCTGTCTCTGTCAATTCCGCTCCAGCTTCCAGTGACCTTTCCGGACACCATTTGCCTGTGGCAAATGCTGACTCATGGTTGCAACTCTGGGAGCCGGAGCCCTCGCTGAGCTGAGCCGAGCCAGGTGGTGGGCGCTGGTTTCCAAGGCCAGGAGCGAGTTCCATTTGTCTGCATGTTCAGACAAGCACACGTGACATGCCACGGGAAGGATGGGAATGCCACAGCTGGGCCCACCTGACTGGTGGGGGGAGACCTCCAGTTAAATCGCTTCAGCATCACTTCTGTGCCCCTCCCGCCCCACCCTCGGCTCTAAGGTGTGTCTACACTGCAAAGAAAAACCCACAGAGCCCGGTCAATGGACTCAGGCCCACGGGACCCGAACTGCGGGGCTAAAAATAGCTGTGTCAAGGCTTGGGCTGAGGTCTGAGACGTGCTGCCGCAGGGTTGGGTTTTGGGATTATCGTAGCCCTGCTCCTGCCCACCTTCATCATCCCTGTTTAGGAGCCTCAGCCCTCTCCACCAAAGTCCCCCAGGGATTAAAAACATAAATGATGGCTGGGTGGCTCACTGCTCCTAAGCCCAGAGAGCAGAGAAGCCTCCCAGAGGGTCAGTGCGGGCAAGGGGTGGCCCCCTTTCTACAGCAGCCCGGATTCCTGTTGTGCCTGGCAGAGTGGGGAGAACTGGAAGCAGGTGCTGCTCACTGAACAGACGTGGGGGGAGAATGGTGGTGTGTTTTGCTGCAAGGAGACCTGCCTGTGTCCAGCCAGGCAGAAAATGCCCGTCAGAACAATCCTGCTTGCAGAGCAGCAGCAGCTGTCGGCAGCACCAGTTCCAGGAAGCAGGGGATGAGCTCTGAATTTTCCACTAGGCTGGAGCCTGGGAGACTTTGCACAGCAACTTCACCCTGGAAATTTGGCAGCTCCAAGGGGTTCGGATCCCCTCCCCACACAAAGGGGGGGCACGGAGAACCCTAGGGAGCAGGGAGCTGAAAGCAATTCCAGAGCATCACTGCCATGGCCTAATGGCCTCAAGGCCCTGACTCAGCACTGCTGCCCTGAGAGCTGTGCACTGGAGAGGAAGGTGGGTCTGGAACAAGGTGCAGCATCATTCCAAGCCATGCACTTGAGCTGGGCTTTCAGGGCAGAGCTCGTACTCAAAGTAACTCTCCAGGTGAGCAGGAGTGTGGTAAGCCAGACATGAGACGTGGTTCTTCCACTCTACTCCATGCCGATAAGGCCTCAGCAGGAATACCATGTACAGTTCTGGGCACCACACTGTGGGAAAGCTGTGGACAAACTGGAGCAAGTCCAGAAGAGAGCAATAAAAATGATTAAAGATCTAGAAAATACGACTTATGAGGGAAGCTTGACAAAACTGGGTTTGTTTAATCTGGAGAAGAGAAGACACAATAACATGATTTAAGCAACATGTAAAAGGTTGTTATAAAAAGGATGGCAATAAACTCTTCTCCTTAACCCCTCAGGACAATGGGCTTAAATTGCAGCAAGGGAGATTCAGGTTCAACATCTGGAAAAACTTCACTGCAAGGGCGGATAAGCACCAGAGCCAGTTACCTAGGGAGGCTGCGGAGTCTCTGTCATTCGATGTTTTTAAGAGCAGGTTATAGACAGACGCCTGCCGGGGAGGGTCTAGGTAATGCCTGGTCCTGCCTCAGAGCAGGGGACCAGGCGAGAGGCCCAACCAAGGTCCCTTCCAGCCCCGCAATTCGCTGATCCCTGAACCCAGCCTTCAGGAGGGGGAGCGAGTTTCAGCGGCGCCTGGCGAACCGCACCAAGCCCTGGACGGAGGCAGGAGCCTCACCGCGGTCACGCAGCTGCCCCGCTTCACGGGGATTCCCCCGACCCGCAGGCCCCGCACCCCACCGAACCCCCCACCCCTGGGCGCTGGATTCCCAGCATCCGCCACACCCGGGGGGGCTGCGGGGCCCGGGAGGGGGGAGGGGGCTGTGGGACCGGGACCCGGGAGGGGGAGGGGGTCCGGGGGGAGGGGGCGTGGGACCCGGGCAGGGGGAGGGGGGCTGCGGGGGACCCGGGAGGGCGGAGGGGGCTGTGGGGCCGGGACCCGGGAGGGGGAGCGGGTCCCGGGGGGGGGGAGGGGGCTGTGGGACCGGGACCCGGGAGGGGGGGGGGGCTGCGGGTCCCGGGGGGGGAGGGGGCTGTGGGACCGGGACCCGGGAGGGGGGGGCTGGGGGCTAAGGGGGGAGGGGGCTGTGGGACCGGCACGGGGGGGGGGGGCTGCGGGGTCCCGGGGGGGGGAGGGGGCTGTGGGACCGGGACCCGGGAGGGGGCTGTGGGGCCCGGGGGAGGGGGCCGGGGGGCTGCGGGGCCGGGACCCGGGAGGGGGAGGGGGAGGGGGGGGCTGCGGGTCCCGGGGGGGCGGAGGGGGCTGCGGGTCCCGGGCCCGGGGCAGGTCCCCTGGCTCTCGGCCGCTGCCGGGGTCTCCCGCCGGGGGCCGCCTCCTCTGGCCCTCGCTGGCCACCCGCCGGCCCAGGAAGGGGCTCGGGGCCGGGGCCGGGGCCGGGGCCGGGGCTGGTCGGGCGCGCACCCCCAGGCGATGCCACAGCAGCCCGCCCGGCTGGGGGGGGGGGGGGGTTGTCACGTGGCTGGGGCGCCCCCGCTGCTCCCCCCCCGTGGCCTGAGCGCCGCCCTCCACCGGGGGCAGTGGGGGAGGGGCCCCAGGATCCTCTGCGCCTGCGCCGGGAGAGTTAGCGAGGGCGGGGGCCACTTCCGGCCAGGGTGTGCCTGTCGGGGAACTCACTTCCGGGCCCCGGTGCGTTGGATCTGGTCGTCACTTCCTCTGTCCGGCGGAGGAGCTCAACGTCATTTCCTCTGCGGCTGCGGCTCCTCCCAGCGACAGGTGTGCGGGGGAGGGGCCACTTCCGGTGACGACGACCCGCCTCCTGGCGCGCGGGCCGGTGGGAAGGGGCGGGGTGACTTCCGGGCAGCGGGGCCCGTCCCGGCCGCCATCTTGGGCCGGCTCCTGGCGCTGAGGCGGGGTCGGCGGGGCCCGGGGCCGTCGGCGGCGGAGCGGGTCCCTCCATGGGAAGATGCAGCGGGCGGGGGCGGAGGAGGCGGCGGGGTCGCAGGCGGCGGCGGGGCCCGGGCGGAGCGGGGGCGGCGCGGCCTCCCCCGGGCGGCTCCTGAGGCGGGAGCTGCGGCTGCTCGAGTCCATCTTCCACCGGGGCCACGAGCGGTTCCGCATCGGCAGCGCCTGCCCGGACGAGATCAGCTGCGAGTTCGTGCCCGGGCCGGGGGCCCGCGCCGGGGGGTCCGGGAGCCGGGGCCCGCCCCCCGGGCCCGTCCGCATCCACTGCAACATCACGGTGGGGGGGCGGGGGTTCGGGGGGCGCTCCCGGGGGGGCGGGGTTCGGGGGGGCTCCCGGGGGGGGGCTCCCAGGCCTGGGGTCTCGTTTCCCCGCGGTCGCTGCGTGGGGCTGACACGCCCCAGCCCGGGGCTGGCTCCGGGCCGGCGTCTCCGCCCCATCGCCGGGTGGCGGCGGGGGGTTAAAAGCTTCCCCGTCGCACGGGCCGGCCCCAAACCCTCGGCTCTTCGGCCAGCACGGTCGGAGCGGCCACGCTGGAAAACCAAACCGCGCCGAGCTCAGAGCCGGACCGGCTCCTTGGGGCTCCCTCCGTGGGCCTGGAAACAGCAGCGCGCCGGTCCCCTGGGGGCTAGAGCCCCGGCGAGCGGGTGGGTCTCCGAGCCAGGGCTCCAGCCCGAGGTGGGACTGTCTACACGGCTACTTGTAGCCCTGCGGCGTGAGCCCAGTCACTTGACCTTGGCTCGGAGATTCGCTGCCACAGGATTTTAGGTTTTTTAGTTATTTTTTTTAGCAGTGTAGATGTACCCTTTGAGAGGCAAAGTTCAGTCCAGCCTGCTCTTCTTCCTTGCTGTGAATCCCAGGAACTAAGGGGCTGTGGTAGGAATGCTGAGATGAGCCCCTGCCTCCAGCGCTATATTCATCCTCACTAAAATGGTAGTTATCTCTTCCCCTAAGGAACAGTTCCCTTGGCTCATTCAAGTTTAAGCTTCCTGTCCTGCACCTGCTCACTCTCTGGGATGAGCAGGAATGGGTTGGGCGTTTAAATTTAAAAGTAAATGACCCATTTTAGTCCCCTTTTCAACATGAATGTAACTGATCTGAAATGCAAATGCCACGCTGCCCCAAAAGGTGCTGCAGGGTTTCCGAGCAGAGTGGAGCTAGAGCAGGGGCAATACGACATGGAGGGAGAGATGTGCATGGTGTACCTATGAATAAATCTCTCTTCAGTCAGGTGGGATTAGCTTCTGGATTAGACCCTGAAATCTCTGCCCTTTAGACACTCAGCTGTAGGTACTGCTGTATGCAGACACCACCTCAGCTGAGGCTGGCTAAGCTGGGGCTTGTTTGATGTGAGGTTAAAGTGCTAGGGGTGAGCAGTTTGCTCCTAAAACCCTGACTGCATGTTCATTTCCAGTAACTAGTGAGACACAGCTGCCTCAGGATGCTGTAACCCACTTCACATGTTATGCTGCCTAAGGTGAAGGGGGTTTGCAGATGAGCTGCGCCAACTATTGGCTCCATGGTGCTGGGAATATCACTCAGAACCCCAGGTGCCACTCTCCTCCTGTTCTGATTCAGATCTGACAGCTGGGGATTGTGGCACCCCCATTGTCCACTGGGAGGAATTTGGATTATGGTAGACTTGTGCCTGGTGCCAGTTGTGGTTTGCAGCCTGCTCTATGGTGTTGGGTGAAATTCCTTAGGTGGACACAGGATAACCCAGTCTGTCCTTCTGCTATCTCCTGAAACATCAGCATCCTGCTTCAGAGCTTCTGCTCTTTGCTTTCACGGGGAGGATGGCAGCAGGATTGCAGTGCACACACAGAAGCCAGAAGGTCACTGGGCAGAACTTTGAAATGGTAAACTGCAGTCTAGAGCAGCCTGCAGTGCGCACAAACCTTGGTGCAGAGTGCACGTTGGGTTGGTGTGTAAGCAGGGTGTGACTGCAGGCTTGCCCTAGTATTGGCACAGTCTCTGAATTGGATTGCTCCTGAGATTGCAGGAGAGGGATGGTGTTGGCCTGTTGTGACTGGACAGTTGCAGCAGTTAAACTGGCCATGGTAATTCTTGGGTCGGTCTCCCCTTCTGGGGGTCCCAGTGGGAATTCTGCTGGATAGAACTGCGTGCGTGTCTTTGGCCCCAGAGGGTTTCCGTTATTATCCTGTTTCTCAGGACACGTAACTGTTGTAAGCGTTTAGTCCAAGACAAACCTCTCTGCTGCCCACCCACGCACAAGGTCTCTGCCCAGGGTGTTTGCATGCAGCTCAGAATGAGGAATTTTTGTTGAAAACACTGGTTTAGCTGTGTTTGAAATGAAACGTCAAATAAGGACTTGATCTTTCTGGTGCACATGAGACTCCTGGCTCTGCGTGGGCTGGATTTTACAGGACTCTGTTTGTTGTGGGTAAAAAGCAAAGGCTGAGAGTTCCCTTTCAGGGAGCAGTTGAGCATGTGCAATAAGAACATTAGCACGCTGCAGGGGGCTTTGGAGCTCGTGGGCCATATGCTGCAGCAGCCTCATTGACTCAAACATTCTTGTTGTACCTAGGTATTGGGGCCTGCTCAGGTAGGGTAGGTTAAAGGCTGGGGTTGCAAGCAGCTTGTCCTGAGGAGAAGCAACATTCTGCACTCCCTTGCCCAGGGGTCTATTTCCATGATGTGAGTTCCGGGATGATTTTCCAGAGGGCTTATTTAAAAAAAAAAAAGATACATTACCAAGTGCTGTCAGCAGAATGCAGGGCAGAGGGGGCCTGCTGCCTGCTCTTAAGAGGCTGACAGGCAGTGGTCTGCGTAGGATGGGAATGTAGAATTTAATTCACTCTCCTCGCCATTCCTGATCTGGCCCTAGTGCCCGTAGGCAGTAGTGTGAAGTGACATAGACTTTGCACTTTTCTTTCTCTCGCCTCCCCATCCGGCAGAGAGCTTGTGGGTTGGAGGGAGTGTAGCAGCACAGAATTGACACAGATTAGTGCCATCAGAGCTATTGTTTATTTTGCCTCCATCGGGGATTAGTCCGGAGGGTGGAGTGCATTTGCTTGGACGCTGTCCTGCTGAGCTGTGTGTTTGTGAGGGAGGAGAGGCAGGACTGCAGCTTGCTGCACCAGTCAGAGGGATGCTCCCTCTGACATCCTAGGCTGGGTGGGGTTGAGGTGCACTCTGTAACAATGGCCCAAATGTGACCTTTTCCCCTGTTCTCTAGGAGTCTTACCCAGCTGTTCCCCCAATCTGGTCTGTGGAGTCGGATGATCCAAACCTGGCAGCTATCCTGGAGAGGCTGGTGGAAGTCAAGAAAGGAAATACATTGGTGAGGGTGGCAAGGAGTGGGGAAGGGCTGGATGTGGAGAGCTTGAGTAGTAAAAGCCCTACGAGTCCCGTCTGCTCTGTGGTTCTCTAGTGTTCTGCCTGGTGTGATTGTAAAGGGATTTGGAGAGTCAAGCCGAGCAGTTCAGGCTTGTCCAGCTAGTGAGTCTCCCTATCCTCTTCTGTTACGTGGGATGTGGCTTGGTTGCTGGTTGCAGCCTGCAGTCATTCTGGCATACAGCCCGCACTGGTGCGGTGCAGAAGCTGCGTTCAGTAAGGAGCTTCTCCCATGACCTCCCCGCGTATCTGAGTTGCATGCAGTGAAGAGTGTGGTGGTGTCAGGGGCTGCTTAGGCTGCACTCTATTGCTGGGGGCTGTGTGTCTTTTTCTAATGCTGCTTGTCTGTCTCCTCGCTGGGCAGCTTTTACAGCACCTGAAGCGGATAATCTCCGACCTGTGCAAACTCTACAACCTTCCCCAGCACCCAGATGTCGAGATGTTGGACCAGCCTCTGCCGGCAGAACAGGTAACAGGCCTGAGACAAACTGCTCCGACCTTGACCTGGGGGAAAAGCCTGCTGAGAAGATGGCTTTTGTGCAGCTTTGCACTGCAATGGCCCTTCTCCCATGTGCCCAGCCCAAGCTGGCACTCTGTCTGTCGTGGGATTCTGTGGTGCTAGATCTGGGGGTGCCCTCCAAATGGGGTCTGTTTTCCAGGGTTGCGGCTTTCCTTGCTCTCCTGGAGCATGGCAGATGGACTAGTACCTGTTTTCACCAAAGTGCTGCTTGCCTAGTACTCAGCAATGCCCTGCATCGCGTGTGCTTCTTGTAACATACAGAGAGGGCAGTGCACTGCACGGGTCCTTTTCTTGCCCAGTCTCTGTGCGGGTGTCTGTGGAATTGAATGTGTATGTGTTTAGCTTCCGTACCTGAGACGAGTACGTCACCTTGGCATTACTGGCCAGCTTTGTTGAGCCAGGTTGCCTGTGCGGTGCTGGTAGAGCCCCGACTTGGTGATCTCCCCACTCTGGATATGTATGCCAGTGTGTCAGATGTTGCCCACTGGGCTTTCTCTGGTTACTGCCCCAACTTAACCCTTCACCTCTGAGGCAGCTATTCTAGAACAAACAGCCTGTAAAAAGCTTCTGGCTTCACTTTAGCTTTAAGCTGAATTCTCATTGTCAATCCTATTCCAACCTTCCCTGGAAGCATTACAGGGGATTCTAGGGCTCCACTTGCTGTTAATGAGGTACAGAATTGTCTAGGCCCCTGCCCCGGAGCACCTGTCGGTGAGCTTTGCCTGGTGGTAGCTTCCTAGCTGAGGTGCTGCTTGTTAGCGCAGGCTGTCTGGGTAGTTGTCACTCAGCTGGCTAGCTCCTCCCTGCAGAATGGCAGCGAATCCACAGGGGCCGTTCTGATGCTTGTCTCCGTCCTCCCATAGAGCACCCAGGAAGAGGGGTCCTCGGAGGATGAAGATGAGGAGATGCCAGAGGTAAGTGCCGGGGAAGTTCACACACTATCCGGCAGCAGGGGTGAGGTGGGGAGAGCGCTGTAGTGACATGTCAGGAAAGGAGCTGAGGCAGATTAGCCTGAGCAGCAGTTGTCAGATTCAAACCTGGCTTGTTCCTGTTCAAAGCATGAGCAGCTCCTTATGCTGGCCAGGTTGGGATCCGTCACTGAGCGTGTTTGGGAGTCATTGGGTCTGCTTTACTGAGAGCCTTAAGGAAACGATACTGCTGCCATCCTCTGCATTTGGTTGATATCCGAGACCCGTGTTTTCAAGACTTGCCATTGCCGGGGGAGATGAATTATGAGCTGGGAACAGAATCCCTTGGCTTGCTGCTTTGTCTGTTTGTACTGCAGTTCTCCAGGGCCTGAAATTTACCAGCTAAGCTCTTTGATCTCCTTGGTGTGGAGTTTTGAGTTGCCATTGCTGGCACTGAAATTGTATAATGGAAATCTGACCCCTGGAGAGAGAGGGTTAGGCAGGCTTGTGAAGTGTGCAAGCAAGAGACTTGGCCAGGAGGTGAGAGGTAATCGTATCTCACTGCAGGCTGGTGAGGACTCAGTTTTGCTGTAACTCCTGTCGGCTTTAGCTGTTGGTTTGCGCGCTCAAGGCCTTTTCAAGGGGATGGAATAAACCTGACTCTGCATGGTGATGTTGCCTAAGATGCCTCTGGCTAGGAAATGGGTGTGCAAGGTTCATACAGTTCTTCCCAGCCATTACAGCAGAACCTGGGGGGCAGTTACAGGCCCTGTACAATTAGTGGAGGGTGGTACAGTGTAGGGATTGTAGTGAAGATGAGAGCCTGTTGGATCAGGGATAGGCTCATCCCCTGAGAGAGGCTGTTGTGCGTTAAACTGATACGCGACATCACATACAGTATGTGTAAACTCACCCACTTTCCCAGCCTGCCTGTGACATATACACTCCCCCACGCTGCGCTGAGCTGGAACTGTCAGTAGTGAATGGACCCTTGAGAACTGGGTGGTAACTAGAGTCTCATGCTTTTTACAAATGTGGAATAACATAATAAAATGAAAAACCTCACCCTGCAGTTACTGCTGCATCCCACAAGGCTGGGCCCCTCTCCTCACTCCAGGCATTGCAGCTGTGTTCAAGGTGCAGTGCCGCTTCAGGTTTGGCCCAGCCATCCTTCCATCATGACAATGGGGGCGCAGCTGGGCCAAATTTGAGTGAGTGGCGATGTGACCCCATGCACCAGGTCACAACGTCACTCTCTCAAATCTGGCCTGGCCACTGCTGTCACCCCTCCACCCACTGTTGTCATTTTGGGCTAAACCGGAGTGGTGATGTAACCCTGTGTGCCTGGTTGTGGTGCCTGGAGAGGGGAACTGGGCTCAGCCCTGTGGGACAGGAACCACCACTGTGGGGTGAGTGCAGGTCAGGCTCACTTTCAGGGCCTCTGAGCCCCTGGGGCGGGACCAGACCCTAGGGAGAGAGTGGGTGGAAATGGATAAAATGAAATGAAAAAATCACATGGTCCTAGTGATAACACACTTGGTCCTGAGACTCAGCTGGACTAACTCTGACACCTCCAAAATGACCCCTGATCCTGGGCCCTGTGGCTTCCATCAATGTGCTGTGGCCAGGATCACTGTAGGGTGCTGTGCAAATTAATCCCGTTTGGAGGGGTTTCCTAGGCAAAGCCCTTCCCAAAACACATTGTTTCTCCGGAATAGCGACAGGTGCCCTGGAGCGTGTCGAGAGCAAGGTGCTCCCTCACGGAGGTTTAAAACTTCATTGAGGTTCTGCACATAGTGAGGAGGTTGGTGGAGTCGGCACTTAGCTAACAGAGCTTTGTATGGAGGGACACTGCATCTCTCCTGAGTGCCGATAGCCATCAGTGCCTCAGCGCAAGTGACGAGTGCAGTCTGCGGATGCAATGGGTGTAACGCAACACATTGCTGCGCTGGGGAATGGGGCTTCTGACCATGCTCTGTGAGGGTTGAGGAGCCAGCGTGCTTTGGCTCTATGTGGATAGTGTTTTATGTCCCACTCAGCTACCTTCCCTGGCGAGCTGACTGTGGAGGGAGGGAAGGGGGCTGCAGAGCTGGGGGTGATCTGGAAGACCCTCCACAAGTACCCTGAAATATGGGACTACTTATAGAGAAAAGGGCTCTGAGCTGCTCTGGGTTTCACAAACACAGAGGCCCTGGGAATCTGCCCTGGGTCCCTTCCACACGCTTGGTGACCACAGCGTTTGTCTCCATGTATTGAGACAGCTCCGATCGCTTTCCCCCTTCACGAGCAAAGGCTGAGCAGAGCTATGGAGCCTTCCAGTTCGGGGGAACGTACATAAGGGGATAGTGGCTAATTATAAGAAGAGCTGGACTTGGCAGCAGAGAAGCCGGTAAACAAGGAGCTGTACGTGCCAACTTTACATGTGGAAAGGAAACATGCCTGAGGGGAGCAGAGGGAGCTCACCTGGAGTCTGCTCAGAAACCTGCTTAATTTTGGGTCTGGGTTTCCTCTTTCAGAAATCTGCAGCCTCCGCCAAGGGGTCCCCCAATGAAGTAAGGGAGCAGGGACAGCGTTGGGAAGGGGAAAGGGCAGGATGGCTGGTGGTTGGGGAGCAGTTGGATACACAGTGAGATTCTCATGTGGCAGCTGAGACCAGCAGAGCCTAGTAATGACTGGATGTGGGATTTCACCTTTGAACGAGCTGCAGCCAGTTCCCCGTGGGAGGGCTGGGGCTGTGGGAGTGACAGCGGCTACAGAACCTCAGTATTTCTCTTGCTCTGGAGATGAGAATTTCTCGGAGTCCCATTGTTGAAATCGGGGTGAGTTTGCGTGTGAGCTCCAGGGACACGTGTAGTCTGCATGGCTACACGTGGCCAGTAGCTGTGTAGCAAACGTGCTGTCTCCAGCAAAGGATGCAGGGATAATCCAGAGAGCTGCGTCTGCTCTGGGATCCTCGGGCGTTCTGAGCCTTGCTGTTCACTAGAGGCAAAGAGCCGTCTTTACTCGTGCTCGCCTGAGTGCAGCGACAGCTCGGAGCTGGAGAAGTGCAAAGGTGTCACAGCTGTATGGCGTCAGGGCGATGGAGTTTGCAGCTCCCTGGCACTCTTTACCTACTTGTCCTGGAGGCAGAGCATTGCAGGATGGGCTGGGGGCCATTCCAGGTAGTTTCCTACTCTCTTCCTGATCCTCCAGAGGAGTGAAGTGCAAGTGGTGTGCTGGACCCAGCTCGCTGCCCAGGGACTGGAATTTCCCATCCCATAGCTCAGACCTGGCTTCCCTCTGCCCCACGCTGGCTTCTGACACCACAGGCCCACCAGGATCTTGTGACATCTCTGCACATGTTGGGAAGGGAGTTGCTGAGAATTTCCACTGAGGGAGACTGGGAGCCCAGGGTGCTCCTGAGAGCCTGCCCTGGGTATCGTATGTTCCATTGAGTTGCTGTAAAACTGCAGCTGCCGGGAGCATTGAGGAGTGGAGCTGGGTGTCTGGTGTGAGATCTTTCTTCTCCCTGCCCAGGACACTGAGGACTTGGATCACTATGAGATGAAAGAGGAGGAGCCAGTCGACGGGAAGAAGACTGAGGATGACGGCATCGGGAAGGAAAACCTGGCCATCTTAGAGAAAATCAAACAGAACCAGAGGCAAGATTACTTAAATGTACGTGTCACTAGGAGGGGGGAGGGGCTGGGGCACAGAGGGGGCCAAGGGATACCCCGTGAAGCTGCTGCACCACTTGGGAGAGCAGTGCTCGGGCCTGCGTCGGTCCCCTTCTGCTGCAGCGCTCTAGCTCCCTAAGCACAGTGAGCCTCAGTGACTCCGGTTTCCATGGAGGGATCTGCATTTGCTCAGTGCTCATGACGCTTGTAGTCTGCATGGCTACACCTGGCCAGTAGCTGTGTAGCAAATGTGCTGTCTCCGGCGAAGGATGCAGGGATAATCCAGAGAGTCCACGTGAAGACAGCTGTGCTTGGGTGCCTTATCCAAAGGAATCTGGCTCGCTTACCTCTAATGCTACTGGAAGCAAGTGCAGCTGCTTCTCCCACTCCTTGCTGGAATTCAGGCCCCCTCCTCCAGTACGGCTGAGCTGGAGCTCTGCCCTACACAGCACCAGGAGGTCGGACCCTTCCTGGACTCCTCTGTTTTTGCTGGGGTACAGCAGGTGTCTTGGGGTAACACAGGTCTCGCCATTGGTCTGGGCTTGTCTTCGCTGAGCTCATCTCGGGCTCTCTGCCTGCCTCCTAACTTAGAGGATCTGAATGTCTGGTGCAGCTGTCACTGGGGAGGGGTGGCCATTACCTGGAAGACTGGAGATCTTGCAGTGCAGAGGAGGGGGCTGCACTGAGGGCAGTAACCCACCTGGGCCAAATCTCCCAGGGCAGGAGTTCTGGCTCAGGCCTTGGCTTCAGTAGCAATGACTGTAGTGAGACCAGTGAAACAATGTGATTGCCTCCCCATCCCTCTTCCCGACCCCCTCGCAGGGCGCAGTGTCTGGCTCTGTGCAGGCCACTGACCGGCTAATGAAGGAGCTCAGGGATATTTACCGATCACCAAGTTTCAAGGGCGGTAAGTGGTGACTAGTCTTGGGCCTGGAAAAGGGGGAAGGAGGGAGGGGCAGCTTCTGACCTTACTTGTGGAGGGCCCTGCTGTGTCTGCCCCGCCTTAATCTGATTGCTTGTGTCATGGTCGTGCCAGCCGGTAACTAATGGCCAGGGAGAGCTGGTCTGTTGAGCAGGTCACTTCCCTTCCCTATGTCCTAATGGAATGGGCTCCCCAGAGCCGTGTTTGGGGTTCAAAGGAGATGGGGGAGCTGGACCAGTGATATCCCGGTCAGTGTTAGAGGGGAACAAGGAGCTTATGCGTGGGGGGGGGCCTCTGAGTTGGTAGTTGCTTCCCTTAAGTCTCTAGATGGGTGTGATGGCCCTTTCACCGTGCGCATTGGTGGTGGTAGGGGGATGACTGTCCCCCGCCCCTACGCCCCAAGACTCTGGGAGGGGCAGTCAGAGTTGCTGGTGCCCCATGGGGACAGCCTGTCTAGACAAGGGCGCTCCCTGCCAGGTTGAGCTCGTGCTTTGTCCCAAGGTGACTTGGATCCAGAGGGCTGCTGCTCAGATCCTTGTCCGAACAGCGACTGCTGTCTGCAATGGCGCTGACGTGTCCTTTCTCTGCTCCGCAGGAAACTATGCAGTTGAACTAGTGAGCGACAGCCTGTACGATTGGAACGTCAAACTCCTGAAGTAGGTGGCCTGGCTCGGGAGGTTGTAGGCAGAACTTGGGTTGGCTGGGCCCTGGTACATAGAGCTTGTGTGTAGCGGGAGAGGAGGTGGGAGCTAGTGACTAGAGCAGGAGGTGATGCTTGACAGATCTGGGCTGTGCTCCAGACTCTGCCACTGAGACTCACATGCCCTGCCCACTCTGTGCCTCGGTTTCCTCTTTGCTTCGAGGGAGCTGTGGAGCAGAGAGCTATTTGCTGTTTCTGGAGCTTTGGCATGGGTGCATATGACACAGTCCCGCACCCCCCTGCCCTCCAAATGCAGCCACTCCTTGCCTAAGGCCACATATGCTTCCCTAGGAAGCTGTCGGTGTCGTGCCATGCTCCTGCTGGGGGGTCCTTCCGTCTCCTCCCCTGGTGCATGATCCTGCTCTTGCCTGGGGAGCAAGGGGCTGGGCTGTGAACCTGAATCCCTTCGTGTTTGTGTTCCAGTAGGAATGGGCTTGGGGTCAGCCAGGTGCAATTGCCCTGAGTTCCTGTGGGCAGTACAGAATGTTGCCTGCCCTGCGCTCTTACCCCATGGGCTCTTCCTTTGCAGGGTTGACGAGGATAGCGCTTTGCACAATGATCTCCAGATCCTCAAAGAGAAAGAAGGGATGGACTTCATCCTCCTAAACTTCTCCTTTAAAGTAAGGCCTGCTGCCCCCGGTCCCTTCCTGCCCCACTCTGCCCTGCCGGAGCTTGTATTGTGGTTCTCAACAGCCCTGTCTCTCTCTCCTTGCAGGATAACTTCCCTTTCGACCCACCGTTTGTGAGGGTTGTGTCCCCTGTGCTCTCGGGCGGGTAAGTGACCATTCAAATGATTGCGCTTGCCACCAAGTGCTTTGGCTGTGGCAGTCCCTTGTCCCAGATCTAGGGAGCTGCTGCTGGGGCGCAGTTAGATCTCTGCATTAGTACCAAGGATGGTGGTTCCTCTGGGCTGGGGAGGGGGTGTAGATAGTCTCCGTATGTCTTTGGTCCAAGTCCCCTCGCTGGGTCTGCGGAGAGCATTTGAGGTGACGCTCCAGTGACTCCACCCCCCACCCCAGTAGGTCAGTGGCCATCTCCCCAGTGTGCTGTTTGCTATTGGTGACTGGAGGCGCTAGAGGGGGAAGGTGACTGTGGCCTTTCGTGGGGGAGTGCAGGGCCCAGCATGGGAGGGTGACTGTGGAGGTGACAGAGGTGAAAGGCGCCGGAGACCTGCTCAGCTCCTGTCTTCATAGCAGCTAACTAGTGCTGTTTGTGTAGAACTGCCACCCCCCTTTGACGGGGAGCAGTGACTAGATACCTCAGGCTCAGGAGGGGGAAGGGACTAGGCATTGCTGCAAGAGATCTGTGTGATTGTCCTTTGTGTAACTGACTCAGGTCATCTTCCCTCCCAAGGTATGTTCTGGGGGGAGGTGCCATCTGCATGGAGCTGCTTACAAAGCAGGTGAGTGTCTTCTCTGCAGCGTAGGCTGCTGCACTGTGGGAAGGCCTGTGTTCTCACAGGTGGCCATTGTGTGCCCTGGGCACCTAGTGCTTAGGTGCTGGGAGCCCTGCTGGTGTCTGAAAATCCTGCTGCTAGAGTTCACGCTCACACACTGCTCTGACTCCTTGACTGCCTGGCGTTATGGGGCTTCCCTGTTTTGTACAGCACTGCTCTCTTCGTTTTCGGGGAGGGAGAAAACATTTGCTTACAGGATATGGCAAAATGTTCAGTCAGTGGGCAACAGTGCCAAGCAGCAGTGTTTTCAAAGCGGGGGAGGACTTGAAGACTGCAAGGTGTTGAAACTTTCAACACAATCTTAAGCAAAGCAAATCTCTTCCCTCCCTCCCCTTCTCCCCGCCCCTTGAGTTAGTGTTCCATCAGCCTCAGAGAACACACCCCAGTTCTCTAGGGCTAGCATTGTTCTTGTTCTTTTCACTTTTATAGGCCAGGGTGAAGAGGGTCATGAAAATGTCCCTCTCTGAACAAGTGGTGACCAGCCTGCAAAGATTGACAAACACTGGCCTAGCACACTGGTGCAGCCTGAGGTGGGCAGGCTGCTGATCCTCTGTTAATAGCCGTACCCCAGCATTGCTGGATGGGGCCTGCCTGGACCCCCCAGCGGAGCCCAGCCGAGAGAAGCCAGCTCCTGCCAGTCAGGAGCAGAACGCCTTCTGTTGGCTGTTGCCTAGTCACTGGGAGGGCAGGTTCCCGCCAGTCTCACTGTTTCACCTTGTTTTGCAGGGCTGGAGCAGTGCCTATTCTATTGAATCAGTGATAATGCAGATCAGTGCCACGCTGGTGAAAGGGAAAGCAAGGGTGCAGTTTGGAGCCAATAAAGTAAGGCCCTGTCTGGAGCAGCAGGGGGAGGAGGGAGTGTTTGAGACCTTGGTAATGTTTCAGAATCATCTACTGTGTGGATGCAGTTTAAAGCCAAGATTCCCAGGTGCCTTAATACTTGGGAGCTGCTGTTTCCTTGGATGATGTGATGAATGGCAGGCGACCAGCTTGGCTTAATGGTGAAATCCTAGCGGATCTTAAACATAAAAAAGAAGCTTACAAGAAGTGGAAGGTTGGACATATGACCAGGGAAGAGTATAAAAATATTGCTCGGGCATGTAGGAATGATATCAGGAGGGCCAAATCGCACCTGGAGCTGCAGCTAGCGAGAGATGTCAAGAGTAACAAGAAGGGTTTCTTCAGGTATGTTGGCAACAAGAAGAAAGCCAAGGAAAGTGTGGGCCCCTTACTGAATGAGGGAGGCAACCTAGTGACAGAGGATGTGGAAAAAGCTAATGTACTCAATGCTTTTTTTGCCTCTGTCTTCACTAACAAGGTCAGCTCCCAGACTGCTGCGCTGGGCATCACAAAATGGGGAAGAGATGGCCAGCCCTCTGTGGAGATAGAGGTGGTTAGGGACTATTTAGAAAAGCTGGACGTGCACAAGTCCATGGGGCTGGACGAGTTGCATCCGAGAGTGCTGAAGGAATTGGCGGCTGTGATTGCAGAGCCATTGGCCATTATCTTTGAAAACTCGTGGCGAACCGGGGAAGTCCCGGATGACTGGAAAAAGGCTAATGTAGTGCCAATCTTTAAAAAAGGGAAGGAGGAGGATCCTGGGAACTACAGGCCAGTCAGCCTCACCTCAGTCCCTGGAAAAATCATGGAGCAGGTCCTCAAAGAATCAATCCTGAAGCACTTGCATGAGAGGAAAGTGATCAGGAACAGCCAGCATGGATTCACCAAGGGAAGGTCATGCCTGACTAATCTAATCGCCTTTTATGATGAGATTACTGGTTCTGTGGATGAAGGGAAAGCAGTGGATGTATTGTTTCTTGACTTTAGCAAAGCTTGTGACACGGTCTCCCACAGTATTCTTGTCAGCAAGTTAAGGAAGTATGGGCTGGATGAATGCACTATAAGGTGGGTAGAAAGCTGGCTAGATTGTCGGGCTCAACGGGTAGTGATCAATGGCTCCATGTCTAGTTGGCAGCTGGTATCAAGTGGAGTGCCCCAAGGGTCGGTCCTGGGGCCGGTTTTGTTCAATATCTTCATAAATGATCTGGAGGATGGTGTGGATTGCACTCTCAGCAAATTTGCAGATGATACTAAACTGGGAGGAGTGGTAGATACGCTGGAGGGGAGGGATAGGATACAGAAGGACCTAGACAAATTGGAGGATTGGGCCAAAAGAAATCTGATGAGGTTCAATAAGGATAAGTGCGGGGTCCTGCACTTAAGACGGAAGAATCCAATGCACCGCTACAGACTAGGGACCGAATGGCTAGGCAGCAGTTCTGCGGAAAAGGACCTAGGGGTGACAGTGGACGAGAAGCTGGATATGAGTCAGCAGTGTGCCATTGTTGCCAAGAAGGCCAATGGCATTTTGGGATGTATAAGTAGGGGCATAGCAAGCAGATCGAGGGACGTGATCGTTCCCCTCTATTCGACATTGGTGAGGCCTCATCTGGAGTACTGTGTCCAGTTTTGGGCCCCACACTACAGGAAGGATGTGGATAGATTGGAGAGAGTCCAGCGAAGGGCAACAAAAATGATTAGGGGTCTGGAACACATGACTTATGAGGAGAGGCTTAGGGAGCTGGGATTGTTTAGCCTGCAGAAGAGAAGAATGAGGGGGGATTTGATAGCTGCTTTCAACTACCTGAAAGGGGGTTCCAAAGAGGATGGCTCTAGACTGTTCTCAATGGTAGCAGATGACAGAACGAGGAGTAATGGTCTCAAGTTGCAGTGGGAGAGGTTTAGATTGGATATTAGGAAAAACTTTTTCACTAAGAGGGTGGTGAAACACTGGAATGCGTTACCTAGGGAGGTGGTAGAATCTCCTTCCTTAGAGGTTTTTAAGGTCAGGCTTGACAAAGCCCTGGCTGGGATGATTTAACTGGGAATTGGTCCTGCTTCAAGCAGGGGGTTGGACTAGATGACCTTCTGGGGTCCCTTCCAACCCTGATATTCTATGATTCTGTGAATCAGAAATGCCAGCAGTGTGCTTTGTCCGGGGCTGTGGGATGGAGCCAATAATCCTGGTGCGAAGCCCCCTGTGCTGTCATGCCCTTTGGGGCCGCAGTACCCACCTGCATCTCAGCACCCTCAGAGCTGCCAGGCATGCTCTGGAAACCTGACTGGGCTTGGGATGACGTGCTGCGTTCTTGTTACAGCTCTGGAGTGGGGGCTGGTAACCCTGCGCAGATGGGATCACTCGCAAGCTGCCTGCCACCATCAGCTCTGATCATTTGCAGCCTTAGGTGTTGGTCCCAGAAATGGGTATGAAGTGACTTGGGGTGGGACATCCCATGGTGCTGGCCCGGAGCAGCTGGTTTAACTGATGCCTGTGTTCTGTAGTGCACTGACCTGACTGTCCCTCTGGCTTCCCCTTGCAGAATCAGTACAGCCTGACGCGAGCTCAGCAGTCCTACAAGTCCCTGGTTCAGATCCATGAGAAGAATGGTAAGGCCTCCAGTGGGGGGTGTGTGTGTGGGGGGGGGTGTCTGTCTGCCCTTGCCATGGGGCTCCTGCAGAGGGCACAGCAGAAGAGACAGCATGTTGAGCCTGTCTGTGCCCACTTCAGAATCACTGCTTGAGAGCAGAGTGACTGAGTGGGATGCAGGCAGTGTGTCTAGTGAAATGCCCTGGTTCTCAGCTCGTGCTTGGACCTTGTGCAAAGCCTCCTCTCTTGGCATGTGGGAAGGACCCTTCGCTCGCTGCAGAAAGAGACCGAATGTAAGTGTGTGTCGCGCAGGGGAGATGCTGTGGCATCTGTGCAGTGGCAGGATGTCTGGCCTTGTTAAAATGTTCCTGCATCTGCTTCGCGATGTCTGATTCCATGAGGCTTTACCCATCTTATCCATGTGGAAGCTAGCAGCTGGGGCAGAGCAGGACTGCGAATAACAAACCCAGCTGGATGGAGAACTCTCTCTCTGAAGAACTGCAGCAGCTCGAAGGAGCTGAATGTGTAATACCTTACTTGGCCTGAGACCGAGATGAGTTACTGCTGACACAGTTCTCTCCTGTTTGCTGAAACTATCCATCTCTTCCTCCACCGCTTCTCAAATGCAGGTGCATGGGGCATATTACAGGGTGGGTTAAATTTGGTACCCAGCTAATTGAACCATGTAATGCTGCCACTAAAAACGGCTGTGTAGCAGAGCAATATCTGGGTGATGCCTGGCCTAGCCATCCTGGGGGTGCTTGTGGTCCCGCAGAACTAGACCAGGTATTGCATGTGCAGAGCTGGAGTGCTCGAGATGGAGAGTATTTTCCTGCCCTGTGCGTGCAGCATGCATACTGTGCAGTGCTTCAGTGTGGGCAGAACCTACAGGCAAGGCATGGGAGGGGGGAGGAGACTGTCCAGCTGTCTATCGCAGAGCTGCATGGTCTCACATGTGAGGCTCTTGTCACATAGAAGGTTGCAGGAATCTGGTGTGACTGTTCTGGGGAGTCTAGCTGTAGTAGTGGGGTGAGACTTGTCCCTCCCATGGAGTCTTTGTTCTTGTTTCAGGCTGGTACACACCACCCAAGGAAGATGGCTAGCACTGACAGCTGGCTGGGCTCTGCAGGACCACTTGGTTACTTTTGAACGCTGTACTTGGCCCGTAAGATGCCCCTGTGGCTCCCTCCTGGGATGTGATCGCTCTGCCTGTTTGCAGGACAGTAATGTCTGTCATAAACTCAAAGGGGAAAACTGCGTAATCAGTCGGACTGACATGAAACTCTTGCTGGACCTTTGCTAGCAGGCATCCTTATTAAAACAAAACTCTTGAGCCTCTTGTATCGCTGGAAACTTTCGACTCCGCTCCGGTCTAGAGCACCCTCCTCACCTATGCTACGGATTTAATTTATTTTCTTATTTCATGTACACTGCTTTTTTTGGTTACAGTGTATGATGGATGTGTATGGAAAATGTATCTTTGAAGAAAAATTACAGTTTGTTAATTTGAAGATGCTGGTCTGACTATTTTTTCTCATGTTACTGCTGAGCTGAGTTCTACACTGCAGGCACACCATACTGCTCTGAGCCCCTTAAAGCGATGGTGGGCAAGCCAAACTCTGTCTTCAGTGTGGCGGTGGAGCTGTGTTGGGGACGGGGCAGTATGTCTTTCTTTAACTTATGGCTGGCCAAAATCTGCTTGAGATCAACACTTCTGAAATCCCCACAGGAGAACTGACTGGGGAAGTCTGGTATGCAAATGACTTCTTTGAGCATCCAAATTCCATGCTGTAAGGAAGAGGTGGTTAGCCTGCTAATCTGCTAAATCAAGAACAGATTTTCCTTCTAGAAACCACAAAGTGTCTCACTTCTGGAGAACAGAGGATAAAGTAGCTATAATCTGTATGTGCTCTGGGGGGAGGGGGCTGTTGCTGCTGGGGGGGACTGTAAGAAGCCCTACGCTTGCTTGCATGTGAGATGTTGCCCTGCTCTCTAACCTGTTCTGGTTTTGTCTCTGCCAGGGCTGCTGTTCAGTAAGACACGGGTGAGCAAAGCACCTCGCATTCAGGGAGACAGCAGGTTCAGTACTAAACTGGCTAATAGCTGGGCCAGTTCTGTGCTCCCTGTAGAGGTAACAGAGCATCTCTACCTCCTACACTAGTGAGGCAGGTTACTGGCTGAGGGGAGGTTTGCCTGGAAAGGCAACCCTGTTTATGCCCCCCAAATTCATGGGGTTGTGATGAACTGATTATGGCAGCTGGGCTCTCTCCTGTAGCCTCTGACTCCATTTCTGAAGAGGTATATGACTGCCCCTTTTACCCTTGCTGGCAGTTACCTATGTGATCTCAGTCCCCTGGACCTGCTGAGTACAGCTAGGCTTCTGGGCCTGGAATAGTCAGTGTGCAAGATGATGTGAACCCTCTGGCTTCTGGCCTCTAGCTATGGGCCATGAGACCAGCAGATCATCCCCCATCTGCCTCCTGTGTGGTTGGTTCCTTCCTTCCTGAAGCAGCTGCTGCTGGCAGCTGATCGCCCAGAGGTCTCCAATGGGGTAAACTGCCCCCTACTGCTTTCCTGGAGTTCAGGCACCAGGGGAGGGTGTGTGTGTTGGACAGAGTACTCCCTGCTCATCCCCTTGTTTGCTTCCTGTTCTTATCTTCCATCCCTTAAAGGTGGCATTTAGATGGCCAGTACTGTGACTTCATAGCTGCTGTAACATCTAGGTCTGTCAGCATGAACTTTCTCGAATAGAAGCTACCAGAACTCACAGGCACTCAGAAGATGCCCATTATCTTAACCAGCAGCCCTTCTGCATCTGTGCTCTGGAATTACATGGACCATTTCATGGCCTGCTTGTAAGCCAGTTCTGTTCACAGAATAAAGGAAGCAGAGTGTCATTTGGGAGGGTCCAGGCTGTTTTCCTTACCAATTTTAGAGTTCCTCTCTGACTGAAACCTGCTTCACAAATGCCCTCCACCCTTTGAACCATGGTAAAATACCCATGTCACTGCGATCCTTCAGTAGAGTAAGACCCCAGGACAGGTTCATGGTGGGAGCTGAACTCCTGTTCTGATGTGCCATCAACCAAACACTGCCAAGCCACTTAATGCTAGAGAGAATTTCCCTCAAGCCCTAGCTAAAATAAGACTTTCCCTGTGATTAGAGCTTTAAACTCACACACTAGATAGCTGGCTATTGTGTTGTAAGCTAGAGCACCTCACTAAAATGTTCTATCCAGCTTCAAAGCTGCCTGCCTCAGGCAGGGGTTTTACAGCTTTGTTTTGCCTTTCAGAAAAAGGCTTCTATAAGCCAGGTTCACCATCCTGGAGGTTACTGTGGGAGAATCTCAATGGTTTCACAACAGCCAGCTCTACCCCCTGACTTTCACTTGTGAAATTAAGCTTGACAACTTCTGATCTAAAACTGTGGATGAGGTGGGAACCTGAGGCCATTTTACTTTAAATAAGCTTCTCAAGCTAGCTTTGCTCTTTCACCCAGAGGACCAGACCAACTTTGCTCTGAGCTACTTAGCAACTGAGCCCCAAACCCAGACACTAGGGGCAGACCTGAGTTATCCATAGCCCTGATTCAATTAGTTTCTTCCCGCCTTCAAAAACAAACCAACCTCTGCCCTTAAGCCTTGGCAGTTTAGTCACTCTTAAGAACTGTGTATTTGGACCCTGTCCAATCAGAGAAACAGAAATTGGGGATTTGTACCTACACTTTAAGATACTTTACCCAAATGAGCTTGCGGGCACAGCGTGACACAAGGCAGCGGCTGAAGGCTCTAGTCCTGCTGAAGAAAGGGCTGCAAGGCCTTGTCCTACTAGCACTGAGGGAACAACCCTCCCTTGGGCCCAAAGAGGTGATTTGTTCAGCAGACAGGCACTCTGGACAGACCCACACCTAGCTCCAGCATGCCTGTAAACACATCAGCTAGCTGAGGCAGCATTAGTGGGACTTGCCAGGGTCCATTTAATAGTCAGGCACCAGAGGGACAGTCAGCAGCTCCCTCACAAGTCTACAGAAAAATCAAAACTAGATAACTTCCCCTTGAAGCTAAGTGAGGACATCACTAAACCTGGAGAAATAAGGGACTCCCCCCACTCACAACAGTGGAGCCAGTTAATAAGGCTGGTTCAGGTTGAAGACTACTTTTCCAAGGTCCAGCAGTTCTCTACCCCGCTCCTCCTTTGGGCAGCTAGAGGCAGGTGCAGCCCCGCAGGGGACTTCAGCTCAGAGCTTCCTCTTCCTCCTCTGCGCAGAAGGTGAAGCTCAGGATGTGAGGCTGGCCCAAGGCAAGTGGGGCAGCGTTAGCAGGTCTCACCCACCATTTCCAAATCCCTCCTCTACAAAGCTGCTATTGGCCTCCCTTTCCCTCCCCCTAAGCCCGTGACCCACTGCCACTCACTCCCCTTCCAGGGAGGCTGGTGGCAGATGGGTAAAGATGTCACAGGTGTGGGAAGGAACCCCAGGGGACCTGGTCACTGCTGTACACACACCAGAAAGCTGGCTCAGGTATGTACGTTGGTCCAATGGTTAGACACATTCACACCCAATAAAATAGGACCCCAGGGTTTGTGATGACAGATGTGACCAATGGTCATGTGCATTTTGGGGAGGACAGCATCCCCTCAAATAACAGGAGCCTTTCACACACCAAGTGTGCAGGGCTATGTATTACCTCCAGGCGAGACGGGCCAACCACCTTCCCTCGCAGGATTTGCCGGACCATGGGTCTTGCAGAGACAATCTCTAAAAGACAAGGAGGGTTCAGTGGGGTTCTGCCCTGCTCCAGATGGAGGAACGCAGGACAGTAACTCAGCACTTTAAACAGCCAAGTGATTCCAGAGTTTACAGGGACCTGGCAGGATGCTCCTGTGTATAAGCTGTTGGCCTGGGAGGTGGGAGACCTGGGTTAAGGCCCGGCTCCATGTGACTTCATTCTCCACCCGTAAAACAGGGGCATGGTACCCACCCTAGGGAGGTTGTGAGGATACAAAGACAGGCAAATAGAAACCATCTCTTCTGTTTCCAAGCGTGCTGTGGTAGACCCCATTAGCAAGGTGGTATTTTAATCAGAGGCATTAACTAGTGATGGCAGGACGAGGGATGCAAACCAGCAACTAGATTGGTAACCAGGGGAAAATGAGAATTCAGTCCACCCAGGAAAGCCAGTACAAGGTGGGCTTCCTTCCTGTTACACCCAACCCACGCTAGGAGCAGCAAACATTTTATGGTAAATTAGGAGTTCGTGATACGTTGTCACTAGGCAGCAACCCAGCAGGAGGAGTGAGAAAGGAGAAATAGGCATCAAAGACCTTCAGGGTAAGATAAGTTCTACTATGTTCCTGGACGAGCGGGTGACTGTTTTGCCACTGGGACTGTAAGTATCCAAAGCAGAAAAAGCCACAGTGCTTTTACAGCTGCGGAGCGTTCTTCCAGCCCAGGTTTGCACCTCCGCATTGGGAATCGGGGGTTTTCATACTGAAAATGCTGTTTTTTACTGAGTGTAATGGAGAGACAAGGTTAACCTTGCTGCCAGTCAAATGCAATACACCCACCTGGCCAGCAAGTGGCACCACCCTACCAGAAGGTTGTTTCTACCAAACTGAAGTTTAAAATCCGAGGGCTGTAGCCATGGGAGGCTGCAAAGGACAAAGCGATCCAGGCAGAGCATCAGTGGGACTCCACACAGCAGAAGGGTTCCAGGTGATCGGATCCCTTTGCAACATCGGGGCCTTATGCTAGTACCTTTCTGGAAGATGAAGGGCTGGGCCAGCGGTTTTATGGCCCAGATATCGTCTTCATCCAGCTTCCGCAGCGAGTTCAGAGGGACAGTGGCTGAACGGCCAAAGTCAACAAAGAGAACCACTGCAAGATCTTCCACTTTCTCCAAGACCCAGCACCTGTGAGGGTCAGACAAGAGCCCGTGAGCCCAGAAAGAAGCTACAGGACCTGGGATTTAATATTTGTCCTGCAAAGAGGAGAGAGAGAGAGAGAGAAGCCAGCTGACTGCCTCAGGGGTTAGGGGATTTTTGTTTGTTTTTCTTAAACAATGCAGCTTAAAGTATCAGCAATATGGAGTTTTGGCTGCAATATTATCTACTGCCATCTCAGTAACTCCGACCGGGAGAGCGAAGCCAGGGCAGGCCCTGTCAATACCTGCATGAGAGACCTTCAGGGAAGAAGCCAGGTGAGACAAGAGCTGGTTCTGGGCACTCAGCAGGGGGCACGTTTCACCAGCGTAGTGCGAGGTGACACCGTGCGGCTGGTGAACCGCCAAGCTTGGCTAGAGCGGAATGTGCTTTGTTTGAAGGCGGCCAGGGGTTCACCCCAACACCCGGACAAACCCCAGCTTGGATAACTGCACTAGCTGAGTTGGACTGCCCCTCTGCCAGGGGAATTCACGCTTCGTTCCCCAGTCTCGGCAGCAGCTAGGCAGCTCTGGCACAGGGCGGCTGCGGCTCGGTAGCGGGGACAGAGGCTCCTGCACGTGGTGAAGGCGCGCTAAGAAACCTGCAGCCCAGGAAAGGTGCCACACGCCCTAAGTGCACAGTGGGAGGGGAACAGATATCAGCAAATGCCCCCCGCCCCACTCCTCCTGCCCCTTTGGTCCCAGCGCTGCCTCGTGCCCAGCTGGTCCATTCTGAGCATGCAGCTTGTGTCCTATACCTGTTCCACGCTGCCCCGTCGTCCCCCAGAATGCACTCTGCCATGCAGCGGGTCCCTCGCTGCACCGCCTGCTTTGCCAGGCAGGGCTGCTTGGACTCCTCTTCCGCCAGCCGGCCGAACAGCTTGTGCATGTTCGAGTGACTTTCCTGCGGAGGAAAGAGCAGACTCCAGCAGCCACTCCCACCCCTCGCGTCAGGCTCCCAGAGCTACTGCCCAGCCGCCACCACTCACTTGTACTCTTGTGCCAGCCGAGGGTCACAGCCTTGCTCTCCCCTCCCCTCCGCCCTAGCTTCGGACCACCCGTGCACCCAGCTGGACTCTGACTCCCTCTGCAATCCAGCAAATCATGCTTAGCCCCCTGGGGCCTCAGCGGGATTTCAGCACGATGCTGGCTCAGGAGCGAAGACCCCAGAGCAGAAACAAAACAGGGCGGGTGGGGGTGGGGGTGGAGTGGGAGGTCTTGGAACTTGATCCCATTGCGCCTTTTCCTCGTTAGATTTGAGCCTTGTAAATTCAAAGCACAGAGATCCCAGCATGAAACCGTGCTCAGAATGGGCATCAATCATCCCGTTCCCAGAAATCAGAACTCGCTGCGGTTCCCTTTGCACGTTTGGCCTTTTCCTCTCGGGCCTATATAAACCTTACACAGACTGCTCTTAGACACCAGCAGGCTTCTCACCCCAGGACGTGCTAGCCCACAAATACGCGTTACAGTCCAGTACGTGCACACCAAGACCAAGGCGACCGTCTCACAGGAGGCTCCTGTGAAAGGACTCACAGCCCAGCTTCCACCGTGCCTACCTCTGTGAGGTGTATGGCCCAAAAGTACGGGGTCTGTGGCAGAGCGTCCGTCACCAGCAGCCCTGCCTCGCCGTGCAGCTTTGCAATCGCCACTAACCAGTTTAAATCCTTAAAGCAGTCTTTTAGCATGAGTGCCAAGAAGGACCCTCTGGAGAGGAAACAAACTAGCTTAAAAGGACAGTCAGCAAAGGGAAGGCGTCTCCTGGGGTACAGCCCTTAGCAAGGTGGGAAAGAGAAGGGGTGCAATCTAGCCAACTGAAAGAGCTTCTCATCCATGGCTGCTCCTTCCCTCCAAGGCTCATTTACAGGGGTCCTCAAGCAGCAGCTCGGCCTCTCGTCTCCTGCCCTGCACATTCGATATGTGCAAAGCAAGGAGCAGGTGCTCCGTTGCCAGCTGGAATGAATTCGTTCTACGGGTTAAGTTAAGACAGTCTGGCAGGGAGAGGAGAGGAGCCAATGAGAGGTTGTGGGGTGGGGATCAGGGGCCTGGGTCGGCGGAGTTATGGAGTGTCCAAAAGCCGTTTGAGCTATTCTGGGGATGAGGTGAGTGGATTGGTGCCCTGTCCTGTCCTGGTGGAGATCAGAGAACTGAACTCCTCCAACAAGGTTACAAGCCGTCTGGAACATGGCCGCCTCGACTGAACTAGCAGGGGAGGACTGCCAGAGCCAAGTGGGAGCATTAAACTTCACAGCTCAGTTATCCCCGAGCTGGGGATGCCGGGGTGGGTGCTGGAGTCCCTGGCACGGGTGCTTACCTCATTTCCATGGGAACCGCGTAACAGATCTGCCTCGCTGCATCGGGAGGCGCCGGCTGCAGGGTTTTGTTCTCTGCTTGGGCTAGGAGCAGAGGAAGAACAGGACGGTTTGAGATTTAAACGAGCCCTTTAATTAAAATCCGCCAGACAGGATTTCAGTCGCTTTCCCCTCCTGCCCTGGGAGCTCTCGCGGCGGCTGGGGAAGGCTGTAGGAGAACGGGTTTGGAAACCTTACAGCGAGATTGAACAGGAGCAACCGAAACATGCCCAGCGGCATTTATCACCCCCAGAACTGAACCCCAAATTAGCTAAGCCGGTCCCTCATGCGGCTGAATTCCTTCGTCCCCAACAGGCCCACGTGCGCCAGGAGCCCGAACGGCACCAGCGTTGCAGCCCCCTGCTCAGGAAGGACAGTTCTGGTGTTTGGAGCCAGTTCTGTGTTTTGTCCTCCACAGGGCGAGCTGCTGACAGCAGGGACTAAGGAAAATGCAGGTGAGCTCCTGCCCGCCAGGAAACAGGAGCCCCGCTGCATTTTCCTTAGTCCCTGCTGTCAGCAGGGTTTGCGCGATTAGACAGTTGGCAGCCCAGGCAGGCACGTGGAAGCCCTGGCCGTGCCGGAAGAACAGGCCCAGCCGGCAGCTTGCTGGGCACCAGCCAGTGCAGATGCAGCACCGCCCGAAGGTCAGGTGTCCGCACGGGCGCGGCTCGTGCATGCGGGGGCCCCACTGACGGTTCTGCCCGGAGGCCGGGAATTGCCGTCTGGGGGCCTGGTCTAGGAGGACTCCAGAAGGGTGCGGAGCAAAGGGGCGTGGGGCAGCCACCAAGCTTCATTCCCCATGGGGGTGGAAGGTGGGGAGCTGCTGATGGAACCAGTGCCCGGAGGCAGCAGGCCTGGACCCCCCCCCCCCCCCCCGAGAGCTTACCATGGCTCAGACCAAGCTCTCCCCTGGGGACTCTCTCCAAAGCCTGCAAAGAAAACAGAGCTGATCTCACATTACAAGACAGAGCCCCCACAGCCTGGAAGCACTCAGAGCTGGAGCTGCGTCCTGACTGCTCCCCGCAGTGAGCAGCGCAGGGCTGCGGACGGTCGTATTCCAGCCGGCTCTGCGGGACAGGGAAGATGGTGCACCGACACGGGGGCTTTCCTCCAAAGAGCCCAGCGTACTTTGCAAAGGTGGGTTTTATTCTCCTCTTGCACCAGGCAGGTCTCGGACACTGCATCCCCCCGTTCTCCCATTCACACCACGACAGGGCTGGCAACATCCCCCAGGCTTCCTGGTTCGAACCCGGGTCCGTCCTGCCTCCCACGCCCCCCTCCGGGAAGCCACCCCCGCGCCTGACTGACGTAACGTGGAGAGAAGGGATGGGTGAGTGTCTCGGGCGCCACCACAGAGCGAGCAAAGGGCTCGGTCCGTCTTGGCCGCACACACTGGCGGGGGGGCCTCCCCGGCAGAAAACGGTGCAGCTCAGAGCTCGCAGCAGTCGTACTGGCATTTCCATGGTGCTCTGGGTCTCAGCCGGGTCCTTCCTCCCATTGCCTGCACCCGTGCAGCTCAGAAACAGGCGACGTCCGTTCACGAGTTGCCCGCTGAAGCGCCGGATTGCGGCCTGCGCCTGCTCAGAGGAGCCGAGATCTACAAAGGCATAGCTGGGGAGGGGAGGGGGAGACGTTACACAACTGCGTGTCCAATAGCAAGAGGCTAGAAATGGCCCAGCAATGAACAAGTGCCACTGGGCGGACCTGCAGGGAACTCAGGGCAACGAGCCAGACTGCCGTAGGGCAGAGAGCAGCCCAAACCAAGTTATCTCCAGGAACCGTTCCCGAGAACCTACTCCTTGGGCTGTCTTTGCCTTCCCGTCACACTAGCTTGGTGGGGACATGGGGGGCAGGTGGCGAGAAGCTTCCAGGGTGACCCCAGAAGGTTGTTTTGCTGTTTCTGGACAGAAGGGAGAAGTTATGGCGCCAGCTGGGGGCTCTTCTGAAGACGCCCCCTAGAATGAAATAACATGGTAACTACCCCGACCACCCAGTCTGCGGAGCAAGCTAAGGAAAGGCCAGGCACCAGGTCCTGCCCCATCAGCCATTTGCTCTCCAAGGCAGGTATCAGCAACTAGCCTCTATCATCACAGAGCAAAGCCCCCTGGAGCAGGGACGGGAGCCTGCTGAGCCGGACAACAGGGAGCAACACTAAGGGCAAAGGAAAAACAAACCTACCTTCTCAACCCCGCCTGGCACCTCTGAATACGCTGCGGGTGGAAGTCCCTGAGCAGGAGCAGTATGTCCTCCTAGGAAAGCAAAGCAGCCCAGGGTCAGGGGGAGGCCTCGTTACGGCAGAGACACCGACGGCGGCTGCAGCAGTCGGTTTATTTGTCAGAGTCGGGACAGCGGGTTCGTCCCCTTCCCAAAGGGACAGGAGCACATTTTATCTTGGGTGAGTCCAACCCTTGTCTGTGCCGCCAGGCAGCTGGCAAGGCTGCGGCGAAACCTGGTCCACACAGGCCAGCCGGCCCTGGAACGAGGTCTGCTGGCGCGGTTCCTGGGCAAAGGGTCACGCGAACGGAGCAGACGCCTGCCCCTGGTTCCAAAGGACAGGCAGCAGGGAATGAGAGCAGAGCAACCCCGGGCAACCGGATGAAAGCTCCTCTGCCCGGATCAGAGTCAACTGCTGAGTTCCTGCTGCAGGTCCCCCCCAAAAGCATCACTAATCCCATTGCCAGCACCAACCCGCCACCTCCTTGTCTCCACTCACACCGGGACAAGTGCGGATGCTTGCAAACCGCCTTTTGGTTCCCCTGGAAGAGTATTTGGGGGCAGAGCAGGAGAAATCAACCCAAGTAACTGTATTCCGAAGAGAGTTAAGAACAGCAGACTGCACGTACGACTCGGTGGGACGTCAATGTTAATTGCTTAGCTTATATCATTAAAGCAGAGAATGCCCCTTCCAAAACAGCAGGGAAGATACCTCCTTCATATCAGGTGGGACATTTCCAACATAAACTTCCGAGTCCTTTTTCTTGGTGATGCCTTGAAAAACAAGCAAGAAAAACTCCATTTTGTGCTTGCAGCGGAGCAGGGTCTTGACAAGCTCACGGATAAGGCTCGATGCAAATCGCAGGCCGCCACTTTCTTCTGGAAACAGCAACTTGGTTTTTTTAAATAATTGCAGCAAATTTGACTCAAATTTTGGCCCAGCCACCCGTGCACCATGCCTGCCTGTGACACCCGAGCAGGACACACAGGATCTCCTGGTCTGGGAGGTGCACACCTGGAATGGCCACTCTAACAAACTGTGACTGCAACTTTTGAACAAAGAAACAAAAACAAAAAAAGCCTCCCAAGCAAAGACAGTCTTAATAACAAACCTGAGAGTTGTCTGAAGGGACCCCCTCTCCCGCTTGTTTAGGGGAAAGGGACAAATACATATTTTGGTAAATAGCTCCCCCTCCATGGCAATACCTGCTATTACGTAAATACATTTTGGGCTAAGTTCTGATGATGGACATTAGCCCACAGATGCTAACAATGCCAATCTGCATATCTGTGCACCGCACACATCTTCAGAAAATTCTCATTAAAATTAGTATTTCTGTACACACACAGACATACACACACAGAATCTCTGGGACGTTAGTTACTTTACTCCTCAAGAGATCAACAAGCTGTATTTTAGTTACAATAAAATGCGTCTTTTATCTTAAAAGCCAAAGATGGATTCCCCCATCACTCCCAACCTCGTGATCCAGGTTTTGGATATTAGTTTCCAGGAGGAGATGCCAGTTTCCTTTGACCCCTGTAAAAGGGTTTATAATGGAAATTCAGGTACAGACTTTTGATCCTGCAAAAAATTACCCACGTCCTTAATGTGTATTCAGTTTAACATCTGCATTTTGTGGGGCTACGTACGGGTTTAACCATTTGCCAGATTAAGGATTTAGCTTGAACTGTCACACATGGCTTATTTTAGATCCCACTGGTGTTGACAACAAACAAAAAGCAGTTTGTCATTGCTAACAGCAGGAGAGTGCCCCACAAAAGTGCCTGCAACTCTAACGACTGACTTGTTTGCAATATTAAAAGCGCAGTTGTCAGAAGGTCACACGCACAAGAGATACCCGTCCTGTCACAGGACACAGCTGTAAATCACACAGACCGGCTGTTCGACCTCTGACCCCGTAAAGATGACGGACACCTTGCAGTGCAACACACAGCGGTAAATCCTAGACCCACAGAGAGTTAATGATTCTCCTGCTTTCTTGGGGAGGATGCAAAACAAACAGCCACATGAGCAACCCCACCAGGTGGGGAAAAGGAACCAAGGTTTACCTGAGTATTTGAGCTGCTCCGGTTTCCCATTTGTCTTCTGGGGCCTGGGAGGGCCCCAGACACCGCTGCTGCTTGCCCTGAACGGCAGGAAGGAACAGAGGACATGCGCGTTTTGTGAGCTTTTAACTACAGCAAAACGAGACCACCCACCACCCGACAGTCACAGCGTGGAAGGAGGGTGACGTGACAGGGAGCTGCGGGTGCTCAGCACCTCTGGGAAGGTAAATAAATCAAGCCAGACACACGCTCAGGGCCCTGGGGCCTTGCAATAGGCCACACACGCAATTCACCCCTTGCACCAGGGCGCCTCTCTCGCGCTCACTCACACGTGTGTTTCAAGCCTTCATGCCACCGAAATAACCTCAAAACAGGACCAGGGCCTAGATCACAGATCCCAAGCCCAGAAGGGACCACCGTGATCGAGTCTGGCCTAGCACAGACCAGACGTTAGAACCGCCCCAAAATAATTCCGAGAGCCGACCTCTTAGGAAACCAGTGCTGTGAGGTTTCCTGAGTTTGCAGCAGCCTGAAATGGTAGCTCTGGAAGGCGTGAACGGAGCTGCGGGGCCCTATGCCAGCGGAACCCCATGCTGCCAGATTTAATTCCGGATAAAGATTTTTTGACGCCGCCCCTGGATCCAGGGATGCTGCTGCAGAACTGGGATCCAGTTGGCCATGGGGCCTGACACAGGTCTGATCGGGGGCCGGAGCTTTGTACCGGTAGGGCCGCCCCAGGACTAGGGTGGGGGAGGGGCAGTTGCCCAAGACTCTCCCCAAACCGAGCGGTGGCTGGGGCAGCACCACAGAACCCCATGGGACACACTGCAATGTGGGGGGCCAGGAGCTAGGATGGGCATTTCCCAGCCCAGAGCCAGGAGAGCCCCCCCCAATCCCGGCCTGACAGACACCGAGCCCCCCAGCTCACCGCCAGCATGAGCTCATCTCCCCCAGCTACTCACATGGCTCAGGGGTCACAGGGCCCAGCAACCTGCAAAGAGACCAGGAGAGACCGAGTGAGCGTCGGGGGGCCGAGGCCCGTCTGACCAGGCTCTCCCAAGGGTGGGGCCGGCTGGCGCGGGGGCAGCCTGCGGATGGGAACCCAGGGAGGTGCCCTCAGAGATGTGCCCATCGCAGCCAGGTGTGCACCCCTGGGCACCCCCACCAGCTGGCCCCACCGGGGAGGGGCACCAGAGGCCTATGGGGGAGACCCCCTTGCATGGGGAAGGGGGCAATTTCCCTTCCAGGGGTCCCCCCAAAGGGGACTATATAAGGGGGCCAGTTATCCCCAGAGAGCCACATGGGGGAAGGGGTGGGGCAGTTCCCCGAGGGGCCTGATGGGGAAGGTTTGGGGGGGTCCCGTGCTCAGCCCCGTCCCTGGCCGCTACCCAAGAGGGGGACGGACGTGCGGCTTCCGAGCTCGCGGCACCGCCAGCTGCCAGCAGCCCCCCGCGTCCCACGCACCGGGGCCCCCTCGGGCACCCACCCCTGCGGTCCGGGCTCGCCGCGCAGCAGCCAGGGCAAAGCCGCCGCCGCTCAGCCCGGAGCCGGCTCCGAACCCGAACCCGAACCCGAACCCCGCGGGAGGAGCGGACGGACCCGCGCCAGGCCCAGAGCCGGAGGGCGCAATGCCCGTCGCTCACTCGAGCCGGCTGCGAACCTGCCCCGGCGGGACAGGCCGCGCCCGGCTGGATAATCACGAATGGGCAGCGCGGCTCATTGCAATTATCGCGCACACGCAGCTTGTATCCGCCGGCCAGGTCCGCAGAGCGATTCCCGCTGCGGAGCTTGCGCGGGGGCACGAAGGTTTTGCGCCCTGGCTTGCGCGGGGCCGAGGGTTATTCGCAGGCGGAGGTCGCAATTCTCACCCGCGCGCAGAGCGTTCAGCGGCGCGCAGGGGCGGCGATTTACAAACCGAGCGCGCCCCGACACCGCTGGAAATCGCCCTGCTCGCTGCGCGGCAGATTGCGCCCCCGCGCGGTGGGGGTAGCTCTCTGCAGGCCAGGCGCCCTCCCCCTTGCGGCCGGCCGGGGCCCTGCGCCGCCCCCTCCGGATCTGGGCGGGGAGCCCGGGCAGCGCTGGCCGGCGGCCTCGGAGCGGAGCTGAGCGGCAGGGAGCGAGGCGCAGGAGACGCGGAGCCGCCCCCGCTGCGCTGCGCCCCCGCAGACCCCCTCCAGGCCTCGGGGCTGCCCGGGAGCTGGGCGCCCAGTGGCGCTTCGTGGGGCCCCCTGGGGCGGGGTGCAGGACCTGGAGCGACTCCATCTGATCCCCCCCGGGGTGAAGGAGGATCCCCACCCCCCTTCTCCTGCAGGTGAAATTCTCTCCCCCCCCCCACTGCTGCACCCCCCATGGGTTAAGGACCAGCCCCCCCCACGAGTGACTCCAGCTCCCCACCTGTGCGATGGGGGCCCCCTTGCCATGACTCTCCCCCCCACGCTGGGACTGTGATTTACCGGGGGCGAGGGGGAAGCAGGACCACCCCGTCTCCCGAGCTGCATCCCCTGCTGGCTCTGAGCTGGCACGGAGCGCCCACGCGGGCCCCGTGTGTGGGGCACACCCCCTCCCCCAAGCCACCAGGCTCCGGATCCCCCCATCCCCACCAAAGGTCACCCCCCCTTCTCCCCCAGCATCTCAGCTTTTCCCAGCCATAGCCCGGCGGCCCCCCTGCCCCATGGCGGCCAAGTGGTTCAAGGAGTTCCCCTCCAATCTGAAAACCGCTTCAGAACGGGCCAGGCCGGGCAGCGGGAGCCTGGGCAAGCTGTGCAGTGCCTCCCGGAAGCCCCTGGGCCCCGCTGAGCCAGGCCCCGGCCCACTGCAGGGCAAAAACCGCAAGAACTCGGCGGCCGAGCTGGGGGGTTGCAGGGCAGCTCCGGGGCCTGGCAAGGATGGCGGCAGCAGGCTGTCCCGGGACAACCTGCAGGGACTGATCCAGGCTGCCACGGGCAAGATGCGCAAGAACTCGCGGGCGGAAGGCAGCCCCCAGGAGGGCCCCCCCCAAGGGCACCGGCTGCAGCACCTACATGAACCGGCTCATCAAGGTGGATGCCCATGAGAAGAACGGGAAAAGCTACCCCAGCAGTAGCCCAGCACCAGCTTCCAGCCCGTCGCCGGAGGAGAAGGCCAAGAGCGCCAAGCAGGAGACGGTAAGGAGCCGTGGACGGCCTAGCAGGTAGCGCCCGGAGCTGGCTTTCGCGGGAGCTGTTGTGTGGGCTTGGGCTTGGCTTGGACTCTCCCAGGGGCGCCTACGTGGCAGCAAATGGCTGTTCTTAACTCGGGGTCAGGCCCCCGGGGAAGACACGGCCACTCCGCTTTTCGTGGGCGTTAGCAGTGCGGCCCTTGGGGCTTTAACTCCCGCGGCTAACCCGCGGTCAGAACGCAGTGTCCACATGCCCTGTGCCTGGAGAAGGGGATGGTGCTGCCCTGCCGGATGGAAGTATCGGTGCCTAGAGGGAGCCAGCGCCCTCAGGGAGAGCGGCGGCCCCTTTGCCTGGCAGAGATCCCGTGCGTGGCCGTGGGCAGGTCACCTTCTCATTCCCCCTCCCCATACCTGCGAAATGAGGGACCTGAGGAAAACTCCTCGAGCAGGCAGCATTCAATGCCATCGACTCAGCTCATTAGCCCGGCTACCTCTGTGCTCCTTTCCCTTCCGCCGTCTCTTTGTAATTCCCTTTATCCCAATCTCGCTTTAATCCATCACAGGGAGAATAGGCGCTCTGTCCCTCCCGCCCGCCCCAGCTTATTGATCCTGCGCTGACCTCGTTTAGTCCCTGCGGGCTTGCCTGCTCATTAAGGGAAGGGGTATGAAAAGTCTGGCTGGAAGGATCCCGTTTGCTGGGGAGCGGGACAGGCTGAGTTAGGGGCTGCGGTTTAGCTAAATAAAGCGTCTACGTCCTGGAATTGGAGAGCCGCTGGCAGCACTGGCCTGAGCCATGATCCTGACCTGCAGCTCTCCTGCTGGCCCAGACAGAGGTGTCCCCGGCCGGTCAGCCCTGACCCACAGAGCGTCCCCCGGGAGCCCCGGGCTGCTCTAATGCACCTCGATTCTGCCCCACAGCTCTCGCTGCTTTTCCTGCCCAGGGCCCCTCCTTGCCCGCTCTGCAGATACGCCCCCGTTCCGACCTGCAGCTCTGCCGCTAGCCAGCCCAGCGGCCAGCCCCAGCCCCCCAGCCTCACTGGATAGCGAGAGTGGGGGAAATGGGCGCCCGGCATGTCCTGTGTGCCCGCCGCACCCACGCTGATAGGCGAGTGCGTTTCACGTTGGCTTCTGCAGCCAATGGCCTCATTAACCCTCTGCCCCCGCTGGCACAGGAGCCCTCGCCTGGGCACCCCCCACTGCCTGCAACCCACGCGTGTCTCTGCCTCTCAGGTCCCGGGTCTCGAATTCAGGGTGCTGCGGTTGCACATCGGGCCCCCTTTGTGCTGGGCGCTGCACTGATGCAGAGGCCTTGTCTTCTCCGGGGACGCTGGCATGCTGCCACCAGCTGGTATGATCCCCGTGAGCGTGAGGCCGTTGCGGTTGTCATGTGCGTTAGCAGGTGACAGGGAACCCCAGGCTCCCCGCTAGCATCACCGCGACCGGCCGGCATCTGTGAGGGCTGCAGGCCGCCTGGTCTGTGCTGGGAGCTGCGTCGACGTGAGAGAGAGCCCCTGCGCCGGCGGCCTCACGGGTCCGAACAGGCAAAGTGTGGGAGGAGAAACTGAGGCAGAGAGGGGGGAAAGGGACGTGCCCAAGGCCACCCAGCAGGGCAGGGGCAGAGCAGGGATAGAAGCCAGGTCTCCTATGTTCTCCCCACCAGGCCAGGCCACCTCGTCTCTCTCTGTCCCTATCAGCTTCTGATCCCTCTGGGATTATATTGTCTCCAACCGTGAAGCATTCCCGTCACCGTGCGTGCGAACGCAGTCGTGTCGCACGGTTGTGCCACCAGTGGCTGTGAAGCAGGGGCTGACGGTCCCCTCTCCATTTGAAGGTGTGGGGGGCTGTGGGCCTCAGCACTGCCGGAAACACAGGCCCTCCCGCCCCATAACTGGGCACGCTGGTGCTGCGGCCCTTAGGGGGCTTGTGGTTGTCCTGGCTGGTATGTTGGGAGCTCTTTGCCCCCCGCAGGTCGTCATTCTGGAGGACTACGCTGACCCGTACGACGCCAAGCGCACCAAGGGCCAGCGGGAGGCGGAGCGGCTGGAGGAGAACGACGGGTACATGGAGCCCTACGACGCGCAGCAGATGATAACAGGTGCATGGCCGGGGAGCCGCGGCGGGGCTGGCCAGTGCCCATCAGACCCCAGGAAAGGGAAACTCTGGGCGGGATGAGGCATGGGTCAATATTTAAATCTGCCCCTTGCCAAATCGGGAAATGCCTGGCTCTGGGGAGGCTCATTCACGTGGCGTGAAGTCCCATGCAGGGGGGATATTCGCAGATGTTAAAGACCCATCCCCTGAAGCTATGGAGCTGGGTATGATGTGGGTTTGCTCCAGGCTGGGCAGACTCCATCCTTGCAGCAGCCCTCAAAGCGGCCTGTGGAAATGAAACCGAGCTGGAGCAGGAAGCCGGCTCTTCTGTTTCCTGCTGCTCTGCGGGGAGAGATAAGGAGCAGAGTAGGCTCTGGCCAGGGCCTGACCCGGGGGTCGATGGACTCTGACCTCTGCTCAAATCCCTCAGTGAAGGGAAGTGAAATGAGCACACGCCCCCCGCCCCAGGAAGCGCTCCATGAGGCCAGGTACTGAATCCCTCGCGGGCCCGATCCTGGTGTGCAGAACCCCCATCGTCCCTGGAGTCCTGGGCCAGGCTCAGGTGGGTCGGGCTCCAGAGCTGTGTCTACCTGTGTCTGGGCCTGTTCGGTTCCCTCCCTCCCCGCTCTCTCGCCCGCGTTCTTAGACCAGCCAGCTCAGCTCTGCTGCACAAAGGCCTGGCCAGCGACAGCCCCAGCGCACAGGGCTCCTTCCCCATCGGGTGACCCGGCTGGCTCCTGCCTTCGCCCTGTGCGACCCACCGGGGCTGGGAGCTCTTCGTTCCCAGGGCTCGAGGGAATCGGGGGTGGGGGCCTGACTCTGCCTTCGGTCACTGACCCCGGGAGGCGGCTGGGTCGTATCTCGGGGCAGGCATGGAGCGTGGCGCTTGGCCCCGTTCGCACGTGGACTCCAGGGACTGCGAAGGGTCTCAGGGAACGAGTGCACACGGAGGAGCTTGGAATTCCCTGGGTTACTGCTTACGCCTCCCCTGGGCTCCGATCCAAAGCCCATGGAAGGCCCGGTTGGTGTCTGGCGGGGGTCAGGTCTGGGGTAGCCAGGGGACACTGGTGCACTTCTGAAGTGACTAGCACAACAAAGGGGGGGGGGTCTCCATCCCCTGTCCCCCCTCCCCCCTCCGAACTGGTGTGCCGGGCGCGTGGCACCTCACTCTGAGTACTGCTGGGCCAGGGAGCGGGTGGCAATCCGTGCCCGTGAGCCTGCCCTGCATAACTCAGCCAAGCCAGAGGCTGGGTGGGCGACGCCTTGGGGAGAGGAGGGGGCGTGGGAGCAGAGTTAGGGCTCTGGGCTGTTTGCGGCTGGAGCTTTGAGTCCCTCCTGATTGCTGCCGGGTTCCACGCCCCAGTTCTGCAAAACAGCCGGGCACACGCCTGAGCCTCGTCCCAGTCGGTGGGGCTGGAGCAAGTGTGTAGGGACTCTGTCAGTCGGGGGCTCGGCGCCTTCCCAAACCCAGGGTGTGTCCATCACTTAAGCAGTTGGGCCGGGTTTCTGCTGCGCCCTCAAGACTGCCCAGGCCTGGGTAATCGCAGCTTCCCCTGGTCAAATGGCAGGGCTTCAGCAGAGCCAGTGTGCCCCGGGCTGGACCGGCAGGGGCTGTGGGTCAGGAGTGAGGGGCACTGGCAGAGCCGGGTGGGGACCCCTGGGCTGGACTAGCCGGGCTACAGGGTGGGATCGGCAGAGATCGCTGGGCGAGCTGGTGCAGCACGTCTCC